CCCCCCCCCCCCCTCAAATGGACCCCCCCATTTTTCAATTTTTTCTTTTTTTTCAATGGGGGAGGTTGGGGCCCTGGTCGCGCCGCCGGAATCCCGACCCCGATCGGCAGGACCCCCCTCCCCTTGGCCCGCCCGCGGCCCCGACCGCGGGCCGCGGTCATGCCCGCGGTGACCGCGACCGCTGTGGATACATAGGAAGATCCCCAGTGCAACGACAGAGACAGTGGCTCAGCAGTATTCACACGCTCTTGCAACTTCTGATATCAGCAATGAGGTTTGAGGTCTTTATGGGACTGTAGAGGCATGCACATAAAGAGCTGCCAGACTATAGTTGCATAAGGGATAGTACATACAATGATTGGGGGTAGGGGAACGGGAGTCAGGCTTGCCTACTGGAACTGGAAATCAAGCACGGTCTTGGGCACTAGGTCCTGAGAATGAGACAACAAGGAACAGTTAGATGGCTGAAGGAAGTGAAGCAGAACAGTTAAACGGTCTCCAATTCCCTTAGTAGCAGCCCAGGGATCTGAACATACTATTACCTACTTTAGACTGCCAGTAGGCAAGCAAGTCAGACTGAGGGCTACCTCTTCGACCTAAATGCTGAACTGAGTAGGAACTCCCTGCAGCATAATGTCATCAAAAGTACATCTCTGTTTAAACAAACAAATGGAACAACGACAAGAGCCAGCTATGTGGAAGAAGGGGTAGAGAATAGTACTTAGAATCGGTGACCAAGTCTCCTAATAGTAAGTCAGGAGATCTGTGTATACTACCATTTTCCCTAGACAGTTAACTCAGGCTACTGAGTGGCTCCTCCCGCCAAACTGCATTCTTAGAGGAGCGCCTAGTAGCTTGCAGTTATTACAATAGCATGTCTACTCACACAAACAGTCATTACAATTGCATGTCTACTTATACAAACAATTCACTATGTTCAGGGACGCTGGACCCGCTTTCCAGCAGGTGCTGCTCCCCAGCAATAGATGGAGCCTTCCCGACAGTGCTAGAGGTTTCTGCTCTTACCAGCATCCCTAGCATCCGCCCGGGTTGATTCTTGAAAAAAAAAAAAAAAAAAAAGACCACGCTCTGGTTATCTGCTGGGGTATGGGTTCAGCCTGGGCCGGAGAGCCTGGCTCATCCCTGCAGGCCGCAGGTACTGATGGCAGGGACGCTGGGCCCGTTCAGCCTGTAATGAATTCTTTCTCCTTGTTGAAAACAAAAGAGAAAAGACATGGCTGTGATGATATTGCATTGTTTTTTTTTTTGTTTTGTTTTGTTTTTTTCCAGGAAAAGGTTGAGAATCCTCTATTCAAAATATCAACTTTGAGGCCGGGAATCCTCAACAAACAACCCGGAGGTAGCCGAGTCACTGGAAAGTATCCAGCTTCACTTTAACCTGTCTTAAGCCTTTACTCACTGTGTACTGAGCAGCAACTACAGTGGGAAGGGGAGGGGGAGTATGTCTCTATAGAGCCCTCTGCTCTTCAACCCATCTTCACCAAAACTGCAGGCGTAAAGCGGACTGCTGGGCCACCGACCCCTACTGACACTCCAACCTCTGTCCCCCGATTCCCATGCTTCCTCCTAATCTCCCAGTCTCCTGTGACTTAGAACCGAGTGTCCTGGTACAACCCCGTGCTACTGAGCTAAATGTGGCTCTAATTCCCTATCAACTCAATCAGAAACTTGTTTTATTTTATTTTTATTTTTCACCTCCTTCCCTAGGTCAAAAGATTATTCGAGTCAAAGTCTTATTACCCTACCCATTCAGTATCTTTTCCTATTAGCTGTAAGCTGAAGTGCTACATGCAGCGCGTGCACACACGGGCCATTTTGCAGGCCCGACGGCCATTTTGCAGGCCCGACAGTTGTCAGGCCAAAAGCCTGAATTTCAGGCCGAAAGCCTGAAATCCAGGGCTTATAGGCCCCATGTCGGTTCAGGACGAAAGCCTGACTTTCAGGGCCTAGAGCCCCTGCGACGGTTCAGACTAAAAATGGTAATAGCATTTTTAGCCTGAACCCAAGGGCCATTTTCGGTCGTTCATCAGAATGACCGGCCCTGAAACTCAGGCACCGAACCAGGGTTTTGGGGAACAGCCTATATATAGACTGTTCCCACGCCAGCCTCAGCAGGCTGCTGCACGCCAGCCCCTGGCACACTTCGGCATTGGCAAGAGCTGCCTCCTCGGCCTGCTCGCCCTCCTGCAGTCAGGAGGCAGGCCGAGGAAGTACTTAGGGACTTCCCAGGCACTTCACGGGTAGGCAGTCGGTCAGTTGTAGTCTTCAGGATTCGGGAGCAGCACTCTGGAGGGAGCGCTGTAGTAGTAGTGGTAGCGTTAGCTTGTAGTCTTCAGCGCTGGGTGCAGTAGGTAGCTGTAGTCTCCAGCACTGGGCGCCATAGCTAGATAGTGGTAGAGAGAGATTGGGCGGAGGCCAGGAGTACTTACCTGCAGCGCCGTTGCTCCAGCTTCGTCTTCGAGGTACCTGCAGCACAGCGCCAACATCACAGGTTAGTACCTGGTTCGTAACAGTGAGAGAGAGAGAGAGTTCTCTTCTTCCTCTTCTCAGTCCACCATCTCCTTCTTCCCCTCTCAACACCTGACTTCCCTGCAGTTGCAGACTACGAGAGAAGAGATACCGAGCTTGGTGACATTGGATCCAGACTCGACTTTTGGGGGTTCAGACATGGTAACGAGGGACTATTTGGGATTGGTGACCAAGATTTGGTGTTAACRACATTCCCATCTCTCTCCCTCCTTCGTCTGATCCTTTCCTSTTCGTCTGTGTATGTCTGGACCTGGCGCTTTCTTCTTGTGTGCAGCGCCAGGCTCCTTCACACTGAGTGATGGRTACRATGCATGTGTAGTCTGAGTTCAAACATTGGTTGGGCTAGATGATAGTATTCTAGCCCTCTGCTTCGCTACTTGATACTTACGTGAATGAGGTCARTCCCAGTCAGGTCAGTCTTTGTATCAAAGTTTTCCCTGCGCTCTTCAGCATCTTTATGTATGAATGAGAATGTACATTGCTTGTCGAGATTCTACTCGTACCGCATTGTCTATTCAGTCCTTTTCATCACCTTGCAGACTCTCGGTTTATTGCATACATTGCATATCTGTGCATGTAACAGTTGGTATCGGAGCTTTTGCACGTGAATCAGGACGATCTCATCTGACACGTGTGCGGGGACTAAAAAGCTAGCTAGTCTTTATTGTTTGATTAGAACATACTAGTTAGACCCTAAGATCACGATTTTTGACCTCACTACCGAAAATCAAAAATTTTCTTTTTCTTGGATTTTATTTTCTCGCTATTCTGTAGTGGAAAATCGCATACCGCAACATCTGAAAATTCCATTTTCGTTTTGTTTCTGAAAATTCGACATTTCGTTGTTGAAAATCTGGAATATATTTCTTTTTTTAAGTTTCCATTTCCTGTTGCATTTCCCGTTACTTAAAACTTCGGAATATCTTCTTTTCTGAAATTCGTTTTTCTGAAAACGGTACGGGAAATCCCTCCTGCACGTATTATTTTCCAAACTGCGATTATTCCCTTCGGAATAAATCCGAATACTTGTCATTTCTGTTCGGATATATATTTTTCGCAGTTCTTGGATTCTGTCAGTTGGTTCTATAAATCGGTTGCAGTCCAAAGTCGAAAATTTTTGCTTTCAGTGATCATTTCGAACTTCAAGGGAGGTTGGGAGACCTACCGAACTTGCAAGAATCGGGATTTTTATTTTCTCGAAATTTTTTTTTGCAAAGTTTAAACTTTTCTACTTTGATTAGTGGCTCCTTATCTAAGTGTGAGTTGGGCGATTATCCCACCCACCCCTCCCCACTATGTTGTTGCCATCTCTTACCTTATCTGCTCTGTGTATCTCCGGGTACCCCTTGTGACGGCATTGGTAAGTTGCCACGTCAGCAGTGCCACGTCAACAGCAAGGGATACCACGTCAGCAGGTCCGGTCTGGTCTATGCTGTTGCATTCACAGACAGCAGTCATGGACCAGAGGGCCGGGGAAACAAACGAGGCCTATCAGGCCCGCATGTTAGCCTAGAGTACAGAGACAAAGAAACGAGCAGATGAAGCTGCCGCAGCAGCGAGGAAGAAGACAGAGGATGCCGAGCAGGCACGGCTGCTGGCAGTTGAGCAACAGCGCCACCATGCTGAGGCAGCAGGAAGGGCTGCAGATGAAGAAAGACACAACGTCGTGAGAAGATCTTCACCGGAGAGCAGGCGATACTCACCATGGCAGCAGACTGGCGGACCGAGGCTGAGGATGGCAAGTTGGAGGACAACGCAAACAAGATAGCGCTCGTCCTCTCACACCTCACCGATCTCCTGGCCACCTGCATTACACAGCAGGAGGAGATCCACGGTCTTGACAACTCGGTAGCTCATCTCCAAGACCGCCTTCAGCGGTTGGAGCAGCGACCAGTCGCGGCCGCCGACGCAAGCTCTTCCAACACTGCCGACCGCCTCAACGCACTGGAGTTGGACGTCGGCTCACTCAAGGATGGCGCACAAGTACAGCAGACCGCGACGCAACAATTGCAACAGCGGCTCGGCACTACGGCCACCACCTCGAGTCCGGAGCCGCGCGAGTCAGCTCCTAAGTTCGATGGGCAGGAGATCTTCTGCGATTCAATCAAGACAGATCCAATTCCATGGTTTCGCAAGTTCGAGCTCACACTGCAGCTCCACAACGTCAAGGAACACAAGCATCACGCCTACATGTACTCTCGCTTAGGGGGCGCGTGTCAGGCTTGGTTGGACAACCTGTTGTCCAAGTACGGAGTGGTAGCCGCCGACTTGCACACCAAGATCAGTTGGGATGATCTAAAGGCGGCGTGGCACAAGCGGTTCCAGGTGGAGCCGCCAGAGATCAAAGCCATGGACAAGCTCATAGTCTTCGAGCAAGGCACGCTGCCGAGTACGGACTGGATCGCCGAGTACCAACGCTTGACGTCAGTCCCAGACATCCAGATGAGCTTCAAGGCCATCCGCCACTATTTCATCTCAAGGTCATGTCCGGCATTGAGCAATGCCTTGACGCATGTCGAGGACACCTTGACGACGACAGCGGAATTATTCGACAAGGCTGCGCAGATCATCGTCACGAACAAGGAGGCCAAGAACCTCCGTTCATCTGCGTCAGGCCCGAGCAAGGACCAGCATCGGCCAAGAGTGGTCGTGGTCGCAGCGGCAACGCCGTTAGACCAAACCAGCGAGGCTGTGTCTGCCAGTGAAGGGGACAGATTCGCAGCCGCCCGAGAAGGTGGCCACCCCGGCAGAGGCCGAGGACGCGGCAAGACGAAGACACACACCGTTTCTAGCCCGGGGCCCGGTGCAGCAGCTCAGACAGGCCCATGGACCCCGTATGGCATCTCCGAGTCCACATACAAGGCGCGCGAGATATTCCACTATTGCCTTTGGTACAACAACGATCTTCATCAGACGGAGGGTTGCCCATTGAAAGGCAAGGGCAGACAGGGAAACTGAGCACCGTCGAGAGTGACGCGACGACACTCTCGACGCCTTCGGAACTCGTTTCTTCGCGAGTAACCAGCCTTCATTCCGAGGCGCACGCGGAAGTCGACAATCCTCCACTTCTACTTTCTTTTGAGGACTATGCTGTCCGGCTCGTTCCAACGCTGGGTACTCAAGCTCAAGGACAAGGAGTGTGTGCGGTTTCTTCTCCGTCCGGCAACAGCGACATATCGTCTTCAAGTGGTTCGTCACGGGATTCGGCGCGCGAGTTCAATATAGAGGCATTGGACCCGTTCACATCTGAGGACTTTGCATGGCTTCCTCTCCCGACCACAGGCTGTTTGCCGGGACCGCAATGCGCAACACTTAGCGCTCATCTCCACACTTACCTTTCCTTCTGTGCACCACCAACTTCGCCGACGGATGACGAAGTCGCGGTGGGGGACATCCTGGTATATACTACCAAGGTGGCCCGCGAGTTTCGCACGCAGCGGTACGATAACAACAATGCACCGCTCATGTATGTCCGCATCCAGGTTGGGCAAGCGTCCTGCAGCGCTTTGCTGGATAGCGGCGTGACTCGCAACTTCATGAGCCAATCCTTTATGCAAAGGGTTGGCCTTGGCGCACAAGCTCGGAGGAAGGCAAACCCGACGGTGATCAAGTTGGCGGATGGAAAGACGCAACAACTTCTCGACCGTTACATCGAGGCCATACCGGTCTACTTCGCACCTCATGCATGCGAACCGGTAACATTCGATATTCTCGATACGGACTTCGACATCATTCTGGGAATGCCTTCGCTTGCAAGTGCGGATCACACGGTCAACTTCCATCGGCGGACTCTTAGCGTTCTCGACGCCTTCGGCGCGGAAGTGGCATGTACTATTCCTCTACTGCACCCTTCGATCCGGTGCCAAGTGGTGACGGCCAAATCATTCCGGGCGACTTGCGCTTACGAGCAGCCCGAGGAGATCGGCCTATGTTTCCTACGGACCGTCGCGGTAGCCGACTCTTCACCCACGAACTTGTCTTCGGACCCCCGTGTGGTGCGGTTGCTGGATGAGTTCGCCGACATCTTCGAGTCACCTACCGGTGTGGTGCCGGATCGGCCGATCTCTCACGAGATCATTCTTGAGGCCGGTGCCGTGCCGCCGAAAGGTTGCATCTATCGGATGAGCGAGGAGGAGCTTGAGGTACTCCTCCCACAACTCGACGATTTGTTGGCCAAGGGTTGGATCCGCCTGAGTATCTACCCATATGGAGCACCAGTTCTCTTCGTAAGGAAGAAGAACAAGGATCTACGATTGTGCATCGACTACCGCAAGCTGAACGCGCAAACCGTCACGAATGCGGGGCCTTTTCCTCGCATCGACGATCTTCTCGAGCGACAGGGCGGTGCGAAGTATTTTTCCAAGTTGGATTTGAAATCAGGATATCATCAAATCTCGATCCTGTCGAACAATCGCTACAAGACCGCGTTCAAGATGCGGTACGGGTATTTTGAGTGGGTGGTCATGCCTTTTGGCCTCACCAACGCCCCGACGACCTTTCAGGCGGCCATGACCAATGAGTTCCGTGCAATGTTGGACCGATTCGTACTGGTCTACTTAGACGATATTCTCGTCTATAGCCGGTCATTGGAGGATCATCTGGGGCATCTTCGACGAGTGTTGGAGACGCTCCGTCGCGCCAAGTACAAGGCCAACCGCGACAAGTGTGAATTTGTGCGGCAGGAGCTGGAATACTTGGGCGATTTTGTCACACCGTAGGGCATCAGTCCGCTATCGGACAAGATTCAGGCCGTCCAGGAGTGGCCGGAGCCTCGGAACGTCACGGATGTTCGCTCGTTCCTCGGTCTTACCGGCTACTATCAGCGCTTCATCAAAGACTAATCCAAGATCGCGGCCCACTTGAACAAGCTTCAGTGCGAGGACCGGCCGTTTGACTTTGGAGAGGAGGCACGGGGATCATTCCTCGCTCTCAAAGCCGCGCTATTGTCTGCGGAGGTCTTGCGAATCTACGACCCTCTCGCTACTATGCGTGTCACTACAGATGCGTCAGGCTATGACATTGGTGCAGTCCTCGAGCAACATGATGGTGTGGACTGGCACCCGGTCGAGTACTTCAGCAAGAAAGTGCCCCTCGTGCATTCCATCGACGATGCACGCAAGAAGGAGTTTCTCGCCTTCGTCCACGCGCTCAAGCGGTGGCGGCACTTCCTCCTTGGTCGAAGCCAATTTCGTTGGGTAACGGACAACAATCCGTTGGTCTTCTACAAGACCCAGGACACCGTCAACAGCACCATCGCTCGATGGATGACTTTCATCGACCAGTTCGACTTCTTTCCCGATCATATTCGCGGGAAGTCGAACCGTTTTGCGGATGCTCTTTCACGGCATCCGGATCATTGTACCGCGGTTTACTCAACCTTCGAGATCGAGGACGACCTGCGGAACAACTTCATCCGTGGCTACCAAGCCGACCCCGATTTTCGCGACAAGTACGCGAATTGCTCCTCTCCTAATCCGACTCCTTCTCACTACCGGATCCAAGAGGGGTACTTGCTTGTCCACAYGCGGGGGAAGGATCTTCTTTGCGTACCAAGTGATCCTCACTTGCGTACCCGGCTTCGTGGCGAGTTTCACGATGCTCCCGCTACCGGACATTTTGGAGTCAATCGCACGATTGGCCGACTTCGCCAGCGATTTTGGTAGCCCGGCCTTCTCGGCGACATCACGCGCTATTGCGAGTCATGCGAGGTTTGCCGACGCTGCAATCCTGCAACCATCATCCGTACGGCGAGTTACGACCATTGCCAGTCCCGTTGAGGCGAAGGGAAGCGATTGCCATGGACATCACCGGCCCGTTCCCCAAGCACAAGACCGGAGTGGATGGGATTCTCACGGTGGTCAACCGACTCACCAAGTTCGCCATGTTTTTGCCTTGTCGCTATCATGCCAAGGCACCGGAGTTGGCCGAGGTTATGTACGTCGGTTGGATTCACACCAAGGGTTACCCCAAGGAGATCGTCTGCGACCACGACACTCGGTTCATGTCTTATTTTCGGTGCGCTCATCTCTCAAGCCCAGTTCAGCTCGCCACCCTCAGACCGATGGCCAGACGGAGAGGGCGCATCAGACCGCACAGGTTCTCCTTCGCACTCTCATCCGCCCCGACCAGAAAGACTGGGTTGAGCGCCTGCCGGATGTTGAGTTGGCCTACAACTCTTCCATCCACCCGGCTATTGGGATATCGCCCTTCGATTTTGAGCATGGCTCGCCGGTCACGTCACCGTTGGACACGATTACTCCACGCACGGCCAAGAGCGATGACCATCTTCTTTTCTTGCGTCGGATGCAAGAGTTTCTTGTCAAGGCATGTGACCAGATGGCTAAGACGCAGCAGCGTATGAGCCAGCAGGCAAATCGCCAGCATCTTCCTTGCCCATTCCGCGTCGGGGACCTCGTCTGGGTTTCAGCAGCGGAATTCAGCCTTGAACAAGACATCTCTCGCAAGCTCCTTCCGAAATGGATGGGGCCTTGGCCGATCATTGAGCCCACTGGGGACGCACCTAAAGGACGTTCGTTCACGATTCAGGTGCCTAGCCACTTGCCCGTCTACCCAGTCTTTCATTGTTCCAAATTGACTTTGTACACGCCAGCGGAACATGACGATTTTCCTGGGAGACGTACGCAAGACCCATCTTCTATGGATGGTTTTCAGGAAGTCGGCGACATCATCTCCCAGCGACGCTACGACAACAAGCCAACTGAGTATTTGGTGCATTTTGCCTACTGCACACATCGAGCTGACCGTTGGTTAACTCGTGCGGAACTACAAGCGATAGCTCCAGACATTCTCGCACGCTACAAACGCAAGATGCAAGGCAAGCCGATTTCTTCAGCTCCACGCCGCGCCCGCGTCCAGGTTCCACCTTCATATTGACGGCTTCGCCCTCGCCCCGACTTGGCTTCATAAGGAGGGGGGGGTGTTACATGCAGCGCGTGCACACACGGGCCATTTTGCAGGCCCGACGGCCATTTTGCAGGCCCGACGGTTTTCAGGCCAAAAACCTGAATTTCGGGCCGAAAGCCTGAAATCCAGGGCTTATAGGCCCCATGTCGGTTCAGGCTGAAAGCCTGACTTTCAGGGCCTACAGCCCCTGCAACGGTTCAGACTAAAAATGGTAATAGCATTTTTAGCCTGAACCCAAGGGCCATTTTCGGTCGTTCATCAAAACGACCGGCCCTGAAACTCAGGCACCGAGCCAGGGTTTTGGGGAACAACCTATATATAGATTGTTCCCACGCCAGCCTCAGCAGGCTGCTGCACGATGTCGGTGCGAATACCCTTACAAGGGTATCCGCCCTGGTTTTTGCAATTGACAGGAAATAAGTTAAAAAGTTTGAGCATGCCATGCGAGTCACGACAGTATCCGCTATTCATACGATAGGTGGGTCGATTAGACTAAGGGTTGTTTGGCATAAGAGTGAGCGCGCAGCTTTAAGGAGCGCGTGTGATTTTCCCCCTTTGATCATGAAGCCGGCGGGGTTGACCGGATCTTTCTCCTGGTGATTAAACTAAGGATTTTTGACCGGTGGCAGGACTGGTGCGTAGGTAAGCACGCGGAATGGCCACGGCGCGGGGTCGGTAGGCCGGCACGGACACTTGGTGACGTCACCTGCAAATGCGGGCTGAGAGAACGACCAGGGCGTTTTTGCGGCCCTGGGCACGGCGCGGCGCTACTTCATATAGGAGATCGCGCCTGTTTGTTCCAAGCTGGGGCATAGCCTTATAGGTTACGACCTCGGATTACTGCTACGGAGGTTTTGGGATCGAGGTCGGCGGGCGTCGGCGCAGCAACTGCAGTGGAGCGTTGCGGAGAAAACYGAGGGGTTGAGGGTCGACGGGCTGTCCCCCTCTGGTTTTGTTGACAGGCGTAGCGGCAGGGACGGTCCACGGGACCGGTGGGACTTTAGCAGTCCCCGCATCGTGCATAGGGGCTCTTATTTATGATATTTTATTTCTTTTATTTTTGGTTTTTATTATTTATCTATTTGATGTTCATTTACTTTTCTTTTATTGTTATGAGCGGCCCCGCTTTGGCCCTAAGCGCGGTGCCGTAGGTGTAGCAGGCRCCCGAGAGCCTAGCTCAGTGAGTACGCCCCCGAACTGCTGAAATGCAGACCAAGGCGAACCCGGTACGAATCCGGGCCGGGTACGTCTACGGGGAGCCGAAGAAAAAGGGTGGACGCCCTTTGAGAGAGCCGCAGGGCATTGCCCCGGCTAGGTCCTCGGGGCATTGGGTAAAGGAAGGATATGGTGGAGGCTCGCAGCGATACTTACGGGCAAATCGTTTGTCGGATTTGGGTATAGGGGCAGAGACTAATCGAACCGTCTAGTGCCAGATTCCCTCCGAAGGGCCCTTAGGCCGGCTGGCTGTCGGGCGGGCGCTGGCCGGTGTAAAGTCCTTCGGGACATCCGTTAAAATTGGAATGATAAGTGTATAAATGCCAGCGCGGGGGCCGACAGCAAGGGATTTTTTCCATTTTGAGAAATCAGAGGTTGTCGGGCCGCGCGGTTAGAAGCAGGGGAATGACGGGCAGCGCTGCGTAGCATTCGGGACGGGCAGCGRGCGGAGAGAGGCAGAAGGCGCCGACATCAGGCAGGGCGAGGAAGAAGAGAGGGGGAGTGAACCTGGACGGGCAGTCGGGGTAGGTAGCAGTGAGCAGTGTGGCGCTGGCACAGTAGTGTGACGGCGACAGGCGGAAGACCGATGAGGCGCAGGCCAGGGGAGGGGGCATYGAAGGCGTGAACCCGGTGCGATTTCGCGCCAGTTACGTGCAGCAAGAGAAATGGCAGAAGTTGGTCATGGCGGAGAGGAAGGACGTCTTCCACACCCTATCCTTGGCGGAATCAAGTGGGGGAAGATGCTAGTTTGATGCTTTTAGGTCGGGCGAATCACATAGAGAGGTTAGTTGTAGGAGAGAGTGAGTAGAATTAGTGTTAGAAGGAGAAAGGACTGCGCGGAGGCTATGGCGGAGGTGAGGGAGGAAGAGACGAAGAAATGAATATCTCGCTCGTTTCCGATCGGATTCGAGCGAGGAAAGATGTTATCCCCGGTTTTGACCCCGGGCAAATCAGATAGTACTGCTAGTTTCAGCATTGGGATAGTAGATAGAGAGTTAGTAAAAGATCAGACTGCGTCGAGTAGTCGGGGATGGCGACGAGAAGGAGAAGTCTGAGTTAAAACAGACTGGGTCGGTTATTTCTGAACCGAATTTAGTCATTCAAAGGGTGATTTGGGGGGTTTTGGGTTAGGCGAGTTGGAATCTGCGGGTGAATTGGCACAATAGTCAGTAGGGTAGGAGGTATAGTTGTTTTGAGTTGCGCCTGGGGGGATGGTAGGCTAGTATATGAGTATGGAATGAATCTACCCGTGTTTAGGGGCAGATTCATTCAACTTTAAATAGCCTACTGCCAAGACCGGCGCGAGGGAACAGCGGGGTTGGAAACTTACCTGGTGGCCACCGCAACTCTCTCTCTCCAAAACGCTTGTGAAGGGGCTCTCTCAGGCCGAGGTATTCACACCGTGACAGCGAGTGAACCTGGTCGTACGAGCGACCAGGTGCAGGCGCCTACCAAGACACAGTAGGGAGCTCGAGGCTGAGCGACGGGGCCGGGCGCAAAACACCTACCACAGAAAGTCAGAGAGGCCAAGTGAACTGGGAGTCGGGCTACGCTAGGGTCGGTGCTGAGCGACTCGAAGGGGGCACGGTGTAGGGTAGTATGTCTACCCGAGTTTCAGCAGGGAAACACACCCTCAGTTGCTCGCGTCACGAGTGGTAAAACGAGATTCGTGACTGTGACCCCCGCCATATTGACCTTTACGAGCTCACCTGGACGTTTGTACTTACAACAGCTACAGTTATTGTCGTCACGAGGATTCAGTTGGTGTGTATCTGGGCCGGGCTCATGGTCAACGACTTCACTCCCGCTTAGCAAGGCTCGTGCAGCAGGGCTCCTTCGCTTTAGTATGTGTGTCTAGCGGGAATACTGGCCGGCTACTTCGAAGGATGGGGAGAGGCGCCAGGTTGGGTTCAAAAGTGGTCCGCCCGGTACTACAGTTTGAGAGTGGGACTCCGCTTGTACTGTTAGTCAAGGTGGAGTGACTACAGACGGTGGGTCGTGCAAGAGTATGCTATGAAGTTGCTGTTGAAACGGGGAAGGGGAATGCTACAGGCGGGATAAGCCAAACGGACTGTGGGCTACAGAACTGTGGACTACAAAACTGTGAACTGCGGACTGGTTGTTGGTTGTTACGGCAGACTGCGCACGGACTGTTGCTGTTGYAGTTGGTTGTTGGGTTACGTAGCCGTGCATAGACTACTGCTGCAGGACCATCGCAAGTTGTGCACAGATTGCCACTGCTGAAAACCACGGCTTTTGCTGTTGGACTGCAGTTATTGTTGTTGGCTAAAGCTGTGTGCGACGATATTTGCCGTTGGGTTACTGCTGTTACCGCTGGCTGTTGCCATATGTYGTTGCGTTTGTGGCAGAACCACTATTGTTGCTACCTGGCCACTGTCGTATATTGATGTTGCGCCAAGGGACWGCGAATGAATTGCTGCTATGACTAAGGACCGTTACACGCTATTAAACGGCCGCGATCGGGCGAGGCTTGGAGAGGTGGCCGGACTGGACGAGGAGGGAAGCTAGTGCTGCGATTTAAAAAGGGTTAGTAGAGGGTTTGACTTCAATATTTTGAACTG